CATAACGTGTCCTCGGTTATAAATCCTCTAGTTTGAAATAGTGGCGAACGGACGGGGAGCTCGCGGTGCTCTGTCACCGCACACTCTTTCGGTTTCTTGCCGATCCCGATTTCCACACCTCGGAGCAACGTCCTCCCGAGAATTGAGACCCCATCTCGTTCGCGATTTCCTTCCGTCGAATTTCTCCGTTTTATAACAAATTACAGTAGCTGCAATGTAATTTTGTATCGTCTGTCGTTACGTCGCGTATATGCATGAATTATAAAAACACATTTCCGGCCGGTGATCGACTCGTCTGAAAAATTGACTGTACCCGAGCGGGAAATTATTCTTGTTTTCATCGCCGATTGATCCGCGGGATTCTCGATCGGTTCGCGGAGAGACGCGGGCATGTTTTGAACGGAGCAATGGTACGGAAAACTGATATGGTTTCCATTCCATTTTTCCCCGGAAAGAATATTCCTGTATCTACGGCCGCGATCGTGTCACGATGAAAGTTTTCCTGGCTCCTTGAAAGATCGGCAATCGTTCTCCCGATTACCGGCCGCCCGTTCAGTTCCCCCTCGGATAAATGCAGGAAGTTCCGAGCGATCTTCGATCGAGCTTAGCCGTCCCCCTTTGAGCGGAACGTGCGAGACAACCAAGTTTGGCGCTTCCAAGTGCTTTTCTTCTAACAGATGAAATACGTTCGACGTTCCGGCTTCTGAAATCTCTTTCGACTCGGTAGTTTGGAGCATCGCGAAACTCGTTACACGCGATTATAGCGTGGAACGCGTCTCAAGAATACGTCGTATCCTTTATTATATCTAACGGCGACGGAATTCGGCGAAAATTGGCGTGGAAAATGGGATCCATCCTGGCGACGCACGTACTTCCGCCACCCTCCGTTCGCCCGCGCTTGAAATCTAATATACCCGCTTATTTACGTACGTACACAGCTACGAGAAGCAAAATAATAACGAGGCCTTTCACGGCCTTCGACGACCCGGCAAGAGAAGACTCTTTCGTCGCTGTTTACTCCAGAACTGCGTGCCCGGAATTCTTCCGTTCGTTCGACGGTATTTTACACGCGTCGGGCACACGCACACGCCCGCGCGCGATTTTTCCTCACGCGAACCGAATTTTCGGCCGAGGGTGGAATACTTGGCGGAACAAAGGGTCCGGGGACTCGCTTTTTATTTTCTGGCTGCGTGCGTTCCTTTGCCACGATCGGAAATTTGTCGATCGAAAACCGACGCGATGCCCCAGGGATTTCTTCGCGACAGATCGTGCGAAAAAAATGGCCGCACGAAGAATTTGAACCCGTGCCAAGGTCGAAGGGTTCGCCTACTGGAGTGCAAACGTGATTCGACCGCTTTGAGGTCGCGATCCATCGTGCGAGACACTCGAAAATATGAATCTAACGGTTCTTCCATCGATGCGATCCGATTCGAAATCCATTCATCTGATAATTAACGTGATTCACGAGACAAAGGAAGAGCCATCGTATTCGATCTTAATCGATTTGAATTAATTCGCGAGGTTATCGAGGCGGAGACAAATTGCTCACCCGTAAGAGGAGATCGCATAATCGACGAACAGCCCCGAGATAATCGAGCCAGCTATGAATAGTTGGTAATTACGCGAACTGCGCGCGAACATCGAAATATGCCGCCTGCATGCGCTCGGCTCGTGTCACGGTTAACCAAGCCCTATTGCTTTCAGCCAACTTGGGATAATCCGCTCCGCTCGGCGCCGCCGCTCCGCTTTGCCAACTAAACGCGTCTCTCCCTTTATCTGAGCCACCGATGATACTAACTCACGGCTTACCAGCGGTTAACGAGCCCCGCGAGATACAAACTCCCCCGGCTACTCCCGGCAACAATTATGATCAACCGCCGATCGGCATAATCGATACCCTATCGATTTCCTTCGATCATGTTCACCGTACGACGTACTCGATCGTTTAGAGAACAATAATTGATCTGTATCACATTTTTATTTTTTTTACTTCGTAACTGGAACGAACGATCATTGGAAATTGGCTGCGCCGGGTGACAAAGTGTCTCGGGCAAAGACAGTTTCTTTAAAGGAATCCGAGGCATCTATTGTCACGTTCCTCCCTTGCGAAGAATCGTGTGAAAGCCGGGCCGGGTACGCGAGAAACGATACATGTGAAAAGCTCCCGGCGGCGGGCAAACATACATACACAATGGCACGGAGAAGAGCCGCGCGCTCGTTCGTACCCGATATTGCCGTCGCCGTGCCGTGCCGCGTATACATCCGAGTGGTAATTTTCTCAGTCACGTAGGCCAGGGATGTTTTGGTTGGTAATATCAGGCGAGGAGCCAGGGGTGCAACCCTCATTCACGGCCCTCTTCTCTCTCGCCAGCCACCCCTCGAGCTTTTTGTCCGTCGAACCTCGTTGACTTCTGACCATGAAAACGAAACGAGGAACAGCGACCAGGTTTCGCTTTTCTTCGTACAGGTTGCTCACAAATACGTGGACGATGTTTCGAGGAACGATCGACACTCAAAGAAGAATTATGCAAAATATTATTTATAAAACTGAGAGAAATACTTGCATTCATTATTTTCAAATGACAAATCTCGTGGAACGTTGCTGTGTAACGAAACTGATGGAACCAGTTCCTCAAACTGTTTATTTGTTACACTCGTCTTCGGAGAATGAATTTTCTACTGCTGTCCACTTGCGCACTCAAAACGGCATGAAATAGTCGCGACGTGTGTTCGGATTTCAAAAGGCCCGGTGGACGAAAGCGTGTAATGGAAGGCTCGATCAAAGGCCCGCAGCTATTATCTCCTCCTCACTGAACAAGTTATCCTTTTGGAGTCGGAAATTTTCTGGCGATCCGCGTACCTACCGTGCGTACATATTTCCAGACAAAATAGAATACTGTAACCCATTTACAGAGTTTGCAAAGGGAACAAGCTCGCCCGAGCTTGTTACAGAGTTATAACAGAAATAATTTATAGCAAGGCTGCTTCATTATAGACGATCTTAAAATTTTTCCCCAAAACTGAAATACGTTCCAACGTCATGAATTTGTGATTGAATTCAATTATAAGTCGCCCGTAATTTCGTATTCTATTTTATGACTGTTCATACGAATTGATAATTCATCGGATCAAGAACCTCTTCTCTATTGGATTATTTCACGACGAGTGTGTTGACCCAGGTATGAAGGAGGTTCACACTGTCGCGATGCTGCGTCAGCTCGACGACCTACTTGAGCTTCGTTACCAATTAATTGGACGGCCATCCTCCTGACGTAACGATGTTAATTAGGGATTGTTACTAATCGAGCGTCCTCGCTTTACGACGAGAAGATGGTTCGTCCCGGAGCGTGTCTCGAAAATTGTACCGAACAAGCTCGCCCCTTACTTCCCGTTTTAAACCGTTCCGAGTGCATTTGCCTTTTCCTCGTTGCGATCGCGAAACTCTATTTGCTCTCCTCTCTCACCCCCCCTCGCTCATCGTCCCTGGCTCTTTTTCTACCGTCGGCATTTCGTATCGTTCAATAGGAACCCGTACTTCTGCTGCAGACGCTGATAATCGATTGGAAACCATAATTGGAAGCTGCCACCGTACGTGAAACAATTAATTAGACCTTAATTAGCGTTTGGCCCAGTTTCAAAGCTCCCGACAACGCTGGTTAGCTAGGTCTGTTAGGAAACCGGTAGTTCGTCATCGTATTACCTTGAAGAACTCTGTGAAAGAGATAAAAGGACTAACAAAAACCTATCCGTTTGATCCTTTTTCATCGTACTGACGAGGCCAACTTATAGTCGTGTAACTATCTTATCGCTGCCAATCGAAAGATGGTACGGATAATTCTTACTTCTTTTTTTTTATAAAGTCGACTCGGCCTTGTGTACCTTCGACGATTCTCTTTGACTGAGAAAAGGGGAACTTTGCATCGAGAGATCCGTGTTTATTCTCCCCTTGTATCTATCGTCCCTGAGAGGATACAGGGACGAGTTCCGATAAGATAAAGAAAAATATTCGGAGCTATCGTCGAACCTTTATCCCGTTAACGATGAATGGCTCGGCTCGGATAACCTTGGCGAACTTTCTCGCCCCCTCCTTTTCGGGTCGGTTCCGGTACACGTCCGACGGCCTGCAGCCTGTCATCCGGTTCGCTCTGTCGAATGAAAAAGGAAGCGGACAGGGAGAAGGAAGAAAAACGGGGGCGAGGGTAGAATCGCCGTAAAGTCTCGTTCCCTTTAATCCGTTCGAACCGATCGAGCTGATCAATCGCGACCCGATACCTCGACGATGTACGTCCCACGGGATATATCCTACTCGTGGCAGAGAGGAACTAATCACGGAATGGAAACTCCGGGCACCGGTTCGTGACCGGCTCGGTCGCCCGGTTGGATTGTCGCTTTTGAAAATTTCATTCGACAACGTTCGCCGAGCATTTCCGCGCTGGCGTCGAATCGAGTTTCATACGTACCGGTGAATCTGAATCAATTCGACGCCGGTACACTATGCATATCGATCCACCGGAATCGATAAAAAAGTATTATCCGGCGTCCAGTGTTAGCTTTGTAGTGCTTGATGAGCTTAACGATAGATAAAAAAAGTGGTTCAATTATTGACTTACAACGCCGTGAATTACTCGCCGAGAGCGATGTGTGTGTAAGCTATAAAACTATAAAATTTGAAAATATGAGAACAATACGCGCGAAGGGAATTTCCGTCAAAAGCTTGCCGACTATATCGCGTCCGATTCAGGAAATATTTTCTATACCGGCTGTAACCGTGTCCTATAGTTTCCCAATTTTTATGCTACGCCGGATGGAATTTATAAATCTGCATAGATGAAATTCACACTATCCGAATATTCAATTCGTCCCGGTCAGTTATTGGAAATTTGTGCGAATTTCGTTACACGGGAATTTAACGAGGTTCATAGTTTAATCGTTCGAGAAACGACGTCAGCTTCGAAAGAAAAAAAAGACACGCTGAATAGAATTTATCTTGCGTGTTGCAGCTACGTGAGTACACGCTAACCGAAACGTATCACGAAGACGACGTCGAGGTGGAGTTCGTCAGCAACGACAATCTACTAGCGAACAGTCCGACCCCGAGGGGGATCGATCCGAACAGAGACCTGAACGAGGCCATCGCCGAGGAACGAAAGGAAATGGACACTCAGAGATACAGGTACGTTCCCCGTTTATTACTATCAGATTCTTCTCGCTTTCTCATTGAATGCATCCACCGGGGAAACTCGAAACAACACGCGAATTTTCGAATTCCCGTTCAGTTCGTAACGATAAGAAGCGTCAAATTCACGATTATACATGATCAATTCCAAGACTCCGGTATTACATGACGACGATAAAAATTGTTCGAACATATAATTTCGAGGTAAAGAAGGTGTGTTAAGGATGTATTGGCTATACAGTCAATCCCAAAAGTTTATGCACTTTAGAAACGCATTTTTTAAAAAGAAATCAGACGTCGGAAGAACATTGCTAATAA